TGCTTCTATTGTCCTATCCTAAAACCCTCCAGTTATAAGGAAAACAGAATGGTTTTAGGCTAAAACTCTTTCCAGCGAAACTTGTGGAGCGATGAATAATAGCATCAGAACATAGGATAGTTTTACCATCGATTTACCTTAAATATAAGTCTACCCGAAACATTACTCTGAGAGGTTGAAATTACTCTAGAAAAGGGTAATTACCCTAGAAACGTCAGCACTGGTCAAGAATGAACACAATACAAACTTCGCAAGTGTTTGCAATGCGCCCGTTGACAAGTTACAACCTATCCTTCGTATCGTGGTTGCATTCAGCTAACGTTCAAAATGCGTTATGGCTTTTTTTTAATCACCACAATGCATAGTGGTCAAATATGAAAGCCACGACGCGAATTTCGCTTTGTGGTCGTTTTCTTCGCTCAATGAGCGACTTCGGTCTTCGAGCCTAACATATATTTAAAATTATATCTTTTTTTGTAAAAATTATATTTACCTTATTAGTTTCTTAAATGTTTTGCCAATAGATCGCGCTACATGTAGGCCTACTATAAAATAGAATATCAACCGAAATTAATTGATATGTAGAAGTCCATCAATATTTTGGTGTGAGATGTACGACGTAATCCAAGCTAGAAATATATGAACATAACTTCGACGTTTCCTAGCAATTGGTCGAACGGCCTAGGCGTGCATAGCGAACAAACAAACAAATATCATCAATTATATACAGTATACAGTATCTAAATTATCAAATTCAATTTTTTTAAATATAATATTTTGATTTTAAATTCTATCTTTAAATTTCAAACGCGGGAAAATGTTAAATCCAGTAACATACGTTCTTGATTCGAATAAACAGGAGTTTGTACAATTGAGTTCGAAATAACCAAAGAATTTTACATTGATTTAAATATCAATTAGATGGGAACTAGCGTCCAGTTCAAATTAACAGGAAATTCGAATTAACGATAATTTAATGTATATTCAAAAGTAACAAATAAAAAAAAATCTCGAGATTCTTCATGCAATACTTTATTCAATATAATTATACGATGAATGAAATTATTTGTAATAAAAAAATAATTATAAATATAAGAAAGCACTTTTATTTATAAAACTTTTATTAGTTTTTATGCTGAATAATACAATTGTTTTTTTCTTTTGAACCATATAATATAATGTTAGATACAATACAGCAAGCAATAGTCTGTGTAACTTAAACCCAACGACAACGACAAGACATGATAATACTGCAATTAATCCCGTTAAAAGTAGAGTTAAATTCTTGTAAATGAAGAGTTTTAAGATACTCAAACTTCTAAACAGATAATCTTTGACTTATGAATGAAAATATGCTTATTAAGATATATTCTTTAATACTCAAAATTTTATAATAAAATATTTTCGTTGCTAACTTTGTTAACAATTTTTAATATCAATAGTATAATACTATTTAAATATATAAAGATACTAATTTGTAATTATATAATAATGAAATCTTAACGTAGAATCCGTTATATGATTTAAAACATTTCAACAAGATTAAAATTAAATATTTTTATAAAACAATAATTTTATTAATAGTTAAAAATAAATGCAGGTGGTTAAAAAGACGAGCGGTTAATTGATTTTAAAAAATGCCCTCTTAGTACCCACAGAAGAGTAAAAAACGAAAAAAATTTATTAGGCATTTGGAATAGATTATGATTTTATTACAAAAGATAAAAAAAGAATAATAATTTATATTTGTAAATGCCAGTTAAATGTCCACTAATGGCCGAGTAGATATACCACTGAATGTAGTGGGTTCGCGCCTCACCAAAGACTGGACACGTGGAACTTTCCGAATTTGCTTTATGTGCTTACTATCTAAATGAAAGTCCTTTCGGGATGTACACCCTTGGCAGATTGCCTAACTAGGCGTTGCGTTGTCTTATTATTAAATAAAGCAACACAACACAGCATAAAAATCTGCATATAATACAGCTTGAAAGTAAGGATAAACAGCTAATTTTCTATTGCACAACAGAATATGACAATAAAATTTCTGTTTGTATCCTGTAGAGCACTATACATTAATTTAAAATTGGTAATTTCAACTTTTTATCAGTCACGTCCGTTTTTAAAGGTCTTAAATTAGTGATATTTGTTGAAGAATTTTGAAATTTACGACAATGTCTCATATTTTTTCTTTGTCGATAATTTTATGTTACAACAAGAAATCCGAAACGGTTTTAAGTATTGCATTATTAATGTTTTCTAATTATTATATTTTAGAAAGTTTTTTAAATTACTAATAAAATAAGCCTTCAAATGACTATTGATTAAACCGAAAGTTCAAATAATAAATATTAATTACTCAAGTTTTGTAATCTCATCATACATTTAAGTCATAAATTATAAGAATCGAATTCGAAAATAAAATGTGAATAAAACTATTGGCAAATATTTAAAAATTGTCATCACTGATTATTCAACATCTCTAACAATTATTTATACCTCATATCGCCATGTTTGTTTCTTCACATTTATCGTATAGCATCTGCATCTTTAAAATACTAATTATTAAAACGAGTAATGGATTCTAATAATTTCCAAAGTGTGTACTAAATATTTGGTAAAGCGTAAAAATCTTTGTCCTTTTAAATTAATATTTATCATTCATTGTAATATGATGTTCATATGCAATTCTTTCAAAGGGAACAAAACTTTGAAGTGTGTTCAATTACACTCATAATTAATTCGTGTATTCAACAGAATATCCCGTTTTTCGTTGTTTTCAATTTTTTTTTAATATGGCATGTTTTTACAGCCCACCAGTGGCCGAGTGAATAAAACCACTAAACAGTGGTAGTCAGCACGGGTTCGTGTCTCATCGATGGGTTGGCGTCTTGAAGTTCTACGGATTTTCTTCAAGTGTCTAACACCTAAAAATGGGGCCATTTTCCATAAAAATTCCTCCGGTAGGTACTGTACGTGAGGACTTTTTATGAAAAACTGGCCCTTTTTACGCAGATTGTCGATCCGTTGCGTTGCCTTATACTATGAATTAAATTAAATAACAATAGTGTGTTTAGTAATAGTTAATTATTGTGATTAATAGTAATGAACTAAATAATTAACTTTTTGTAAAAAAAATTCCGCTTTGTTGACTCTAAGAAAAACTGCTTAACAAGACCATTATAAGTTTGGCTAGGATCACGCTAGGACAGCCGAATGTCAGGGATGAAATGAGCTAGAGGCATATTCGAGTTAGCCTATCCATGGAAATTTCTGATATTTAACTCGAACCTGAAACTTCCAAAGTGGTAAGTTAACATTTTAGTTGCCTCGACCATCTAGTTGGCCATGAAGAACATTTATCTATGTTTGTTTATATACGTGGGTAATTTGCCGAGGGGAATGCATTCGCGAGGACTTCCTACGGTAAATTGGTCGTCTATTTAGGTGTTACACACATGAAGAAAACCCAGAAAACTCCGTGTGGCCAGCCTTTTGGCGAGCCGCGCGACAACCAATGTTCTGTTGTTTTATCCACACGGTCACTGGTAAACAACTATCTATCAATCAATGAAATTTACTTTTATTCAATTGGAGTTTGATTGTCTTTTTAAACATAATTTCAGACACTTTCGCAAACTTCCATCCCAAAACTATCAATATACTTATTGAAATGCCCTTCAACTTCTTGTAGATCCTGGCACAATGGGCCTTCCACAACGGTCCTCAGTGCTGGAGACTTCGTCCATATAATTTACAATCTTATTTAAAGGGCTTTTTCAGCATAACAATAAATTGTTTACTTGAAATATTACTTTAATTTTTAGGGATTAATTGTATATACAACAGTGTCTATATAATTAAATTAAAATTTAAACATTGGTTTATGATTAATAAAAGCCCAACTATATGCATTTCGAAAACAAATTATAGCATTAATATTTGAATCTTATATCTAATTAACAGTTAGTAAATTTAACGACGATTTTCTTAAAATGAATTACAAATTGTTAATGAGATAATATCACATTAATGAAACTTATAATTAAAATTTAGCGGGGTTAATAAAATTACATCATTTAAACGAAAAGTTAATTGGAGTAGATTAGATTCATGGAGTAAAAACATTAGATGGGAATCTGCCAAGGAAGGCTGCCTTTCTATGGGAAGTAGGCCTCTAATTTGATGTTCGACACGTGAAGAAAACACGGCGGCTAACTCAGGTCAGGTTCTAACTCACGATTCAGTGTTCATTAGAAGATTCACGTGTAATGATGAAAAGCATTTTTTATGAATTACTTACTACATATGCTACGTAACTGTAAGTTTTCATAACATCTTTTTAAAATAAAATTACACAAATATTATACGGCACTCGTATTATACTATATAATATTAATTATATGATACAATATAAATAAAAAATTTATACTGAAATAAACTAACAAATGCATTCCAAAACTTGTATATTATAGAACTGAAACTTCACTGTTTAAATAGTTATTTGTGTGTAATAATATATTTTCAATATTGTATATACTGTATTTTTGAAATATGTCTGTCTAATATATACATTAAAATATCTTATAAATATTCTATTTTATAATAATATTTTAAACAAAATTACGCAAATTTTGTTTTAATAATATATATTTAATTTTTTCTACAAAATTAACTAGCGAAATATAATTAATGAATTAATGACTATTTAGTAATGAAAATTAAGATACAGTATATTGCAATTCTCAGATAGATAAAAACCATTCTATCTATGTGAAAAAGATAATGAATTTAAAACAATAAGGGGAGTGAATGTTTTATGAATCTTCTTTTAATGAAATGCATATTGCAAACTAATAATTAAAATGCTATTTATTATACATTACTTACTTATAATTTTTATATACTTAAATAATGTTATTTTATAAAAACATTCGAAAAAACTTAAACTTCGAAAAAGATATTTAATATGTAATATTAAAATTTAAATATTAACTCACCAATAAAACATGCGCGCAAATACACTAGCTGATTCATAGGGATTAACTTTTGGTAATGTTTCTACTTCCATGACGAACGAACACAGGTTATCAGAACCGAATGCTACTACTTAACTTCTGTCTCCCATTATTCTCAGTTATTATCTCGTTTACAGCAACGTCATACTTCCGAAATCTCGCAGGATTTATCAAATACAATTATCTAGTAGGCTGTGTTTGATATGTTACATAATGCTGTTTTTAATTGTTACAGGTGTGTAAAATATGTCTTCAATCTATGATTAATTTAAACTTAATGAAATAATAAAAATCGCGTGAAGTAATCCACAATAATGATTGCTTATAAATTTTTGCTCGCTTATGAGTCCATAATATTTGCCTACATTTGGATAATTGCTCAAAAATGTTTGTTTATAATGATATTGATATAAATATTAAATAATTTTCAAAAGTCAATGAAACATGTAAGGATTTACGCTTGTAATAAATATTAATGATTATTTTTAACAGCGTTTTATAACGTATGTAAACAATCTAGAACTCAAATTTTTTCATGGTATAAAATGTGACGTGCAACATTGTTATATTGATATGTAATTATTACCGTTTGTATAGGGTTGCCAAGTATTTGGGTATAAAATGCGGGACAATCCCCGAAAACCAGGACGTCTGGCAACCTTATGTTTATACCAATTACACTGGCCAACAAATTTTTTGTTAAATATCTATCTATCAACAGCTGTTCTTAACTAATTTGGGGGTTCTGAGTTCATATCAGAGGTTCGTTTTTTTCGGAAAGCTCTGGCTTTTGCAATCGATAAATGTCAAAATTTCAATTTTTCATGTTTAACTCATTGACCTCTTTGCGTATATGGATAGATATTTGATGAAACACTCTCAAAATGAACTGGGCAATAAACATTAAATTGAAACATAGTCTAAATGTCTTTAGTAATACAAACTGAAATCCATACAGTCATAAACTATCTTAAAATTAGCCAATTAACCCCTTCATTAAGCATTAAGTTGTAAAATAGTGTGAATTAATTCATTGGTACTGTACAAAATGAAACACATATAGGCATAACCTATTCTAAAATGAAGTGATTACTAAACATTGCATTGCAAAATAGTCTACATGTCTGTAGTGGTAAAAAATGAATACACAGACAGGCATCAACTGATTGCTACATGACACATTTAATCTATACTGGGGACTAAGTGCAAGTGCACGCGATCAAGGCAGAAATTTGCGTTTCAGGCTATTGCGTTTGTGACCTATATCAGGGCAATCCCGTTTAATGCTCCAAGTAGTTTGCCATCATAAGTTTGTCCCATCTCCCTTGGTAGCGCTCTTCCATGATCTTCAGGTCCTGGTGGAACCGTTCGCTTTGCTCGTCACTCACATGTTCTAAGTTCTCAGGGAATCTATCAAGATGACTGTGTAGAAAATGCGGTTTGACACTCACGTTACATCCTAGATCATGAATTTGTCTCCGATTCTTCATCCTCATCTTCAGATGCAGTAAACCCTTTATAAACTGAAACTGGTAGCTCATCAGAATGCATAGTGGGTCGAATTGCTGAGGGGATACTGGAATATATCAGTTTGGGTCTGTTTTATTTCCAACAAGCTGTATTGACGAGACAAAAATAATAATCACATGTATGATCCTTTGGTTCTTACCAGGTCATGGGAATTTCGTAAGGTAAGGGTAAACGTAAGGGAATCCCCTTACGCTTCCCTTTCGTCCAATCACTCAGCATTTCCTCGCAGTTGTGACACACCCTATGTGGGTCCCATTTCTTGTCTTGGTTCCGAATAGTAAGTCCGAAGTATGCTTTATAAGCGTGCCTCACGAAGGAAGTTATATTACGTCTTTGTCGAATAAGGGTGAAGTATCCACAAATATAGCAGAAACAGTCTGGGTTGTTTCTACATGGACGTCTCCTTGTAGCCATGATCAGATCTGAAAAAGAAAAAGAATTAATTTCATATCTTCACGATTTTATCATACACCATGCCGATAAAGTGCTGGAATGCAAAAGTTTGAATTACATGAAAACTAGAGCATCAGGAAAAAACCGTTTGCAGATTTTAAATCAGCACGCCCAAATTATTAAGAATCATTGAAAAAATCTCATGCAACTGAGTTTTCGAAAAAATTTGTTGGCCAGTGTTATTACTGTAGTAGTAACGTGAGCGAGGCCAAAACTGTAAAAATCTTGGTGAGGTCAATTCTTGACTGAGTCATATTTTTCCTCTGTTATATGTAATATTGCCAGAAAGTAATTACAATTTTTATAATTATTAAAATTAGCACGAGTTTTTTAATTTGTGAAATTCTCTATGTAATTCAAAGGTAATTTTCATGCATATTTTACACAACAATATTATTACTGTTATTATTATTTTGTTTATCATGTAGGTTGCAGAACGTATTAAATTACTCAAGAAATAAAAGATGATTATATCATTCCTTTATCACTCATCATGACTTTCCAAGATACTTTATTTTATAATATAATTCAAATTTAATTAATTATATCCGAGATTTCCCGAGTTTCACTTTTTCCCTTTCAAATCCTGGGATAAGCAAAAAACCGGGAAATGAGAAACCCTAATTAGAATCATTACTCGTGAGTATTTCGACAATTTTAGAAATTCGTTTTAACGTTATCAATGTTTTCATAATAATTTCTTGTAACTATAATGCCGTTAGTTATCTGTAATTGAATGGCAAATTACGAAAAACAATTTCCAACATAACATACAAAAATCATTGTATTTGCATCATTAAAGTTTTGTTTCGATACATAAACATCGTTTATCTCTTGATGATTTAAATAAAATACAGTTATTTTGCATTATGACATTTTCAGGAAATGTACAGAATCACGTACAATATTAGTAAATTCTAAGCGAATTTACTAATACATGTATTACAAATTCAAAGATTTCTTCAAAATTAAAACAACTTATTTTTAGTACTACTGTTTAATGCATTTCTAATATGATGTAAATTAATACTGTAATACTAAAACTATCAAACTAGCATTGGCCGCGTTTCTTTATGCAGCGCTCGAGAACACTCTGAAACCCGTTTCTAGGTCGCTGCAGCAAAGATAAAGCAGCTTTTACGTCCGTTACACGTGTAAAGCAAAATGGACGCTTGTGTGTATAATACGATATTATGCTGTAAAAATAAAAAAGTCGAAGTGACTGTTGATAAAAATATTATGGAAAGATTAAGAAGGATTAAATTTTANATACTGGCTCCCTTTCATGGTCGAATGAGTGTTGCCAGCTAAAACACGTAAAAATAATATTAAAGTAGCCAAGACATAGCCAAATATTGTAGCGCCACATCACTTGCGGACATTTGAAATTTGCCGACTAGGACGGTCGGTTAACCGATGTGTCGGTTAATCAGGGATCGGATAATCGAGGCTCTACTGTACACATTGTAAATATAATTATATATCTTCTATCTCTTTACTTTGTTAACATTTATGGAAAGATAAATGCTCAATTCTTTATCTTTTTATTTAAATATTGTAGTTCTTTAACTAAAGCAGTACTTTCGGACTTAAAGCAGTAACTGGAATTAAAGGATAGATTATGGCATCCATGTTTCGCTCGAGCGGAAAGCGTTTCTAAACTATGATGCAGCGACGTGTAGCGATAGCTGCTCGTGACGTCATTTACGCTACATTTTCGCTGCATAAAGAAACGCGGCCATTATAAAGATGTTAGAGCCGAAATCTTATTATTAAGGAACTTCATTATTAAGGAAGAAACTTTAACCTAATATATTTTGCTAAAATTAGAAGAAACTTTAAATTAATGTAATATTTTGTTGTTCAAATCCAGATAATTTTTCAACAAAATTACTGATTAAAGAAGAGATTAAACTGTTTCCCACAGATTTAGTTCCTTGTTGGAAGTGCCATATCAACTGTGTCACTTTAACTTAACGGGTGAAAATCGTTGATTGGACCCAACGTACAGTACTAAAGCTTCGAATGAATAAGTGGGAAAAACCCAGGAGAGACCCCCCCGTATAAACCGGAGGGGGTGCTGACGATGAACGCTTTTTCCTTTTTCGTCCTGAGTCACGACTCAGGATTCACACACACAACGATAAGTTCACGAACTTATCGTTGTGTGTGTGAATCTTGCCATCACCGCTCCTGGACCCTTAACCGAAAGAAACGCCTGACTTGGATTAATCCTTAACCATCATCTGGACTAAGACTTCCAGCACCTAAACTCTGATCCTGTGGACTCCTGAACTCCACTTCACCAAAGATCCTCCATTCAAGACCGGCTTGGACCACAGGTATTTGTCGCCACACGAACCACATGTAAACTTTCTCTCTCGAGCTTAAACTTCTCACTCTTTATAAATCCTAAGATAAATAACCTTGTATATAGCTTTATAATTAAACGTGTATTTCTTAAATGAATAACCTTGTGGAGTGCATTTTTTCCGGAGTTCTCCTTCCGTCTCCAATCCGAACCTAACCTATTACGTACGCGACCGCTCCGCGAGAACGAAACGGTTTCTGTGTCTGTCCGTAAAGATACAGTGGTGTCAGTCCTGACGGAAATTTGTCATCGCGATCTTCGCCGACGTGATGTCGACCCTTCGGTCCTGTGGTGCCGAAGAATTGGGGTGCCCTTCGGCATTGTCACAAAGATATGTTATATCTTCATAATGCTAGTTTGCAATTTCATCTATTGTATATTATTGAATATAATTAAGTAGAAACCTTTAGGAGGGGAATTATAATAATATTTTCCTTCGGTAAATAGACCAAAATAAGATGAATAAATTTGATAAACAAATAAAATTCAAAGAACACTTAGTTTTAGGTAAACGAGATACTATAGTCACAAGTTTAAGTGATTCGACAGAGTTATATCCATTAATATAATAGAAATGTTTGGTGTTACGTGAAACTTATGTCACTGGCTGACGTCTTTGTGCTCACAAACAGTAATTGTTCGTCTCACGAATTACTAATCAAAATTCAACACTTGGCCACTATTGCTGTGGTACTTATCAAACAACAAAACTTCGTATAATTCCTAGTCCAGCAGTGGCCAATTAGATATAAAAAAACCACTGAACACTGGTAGTTGGTCGTGTAGTTCGCGCCTCGCCTTGCCAGGTTTCCTTCACGTTAGTAACACATAATTAGGGCTCACTTTTTCATGAAAGACTTCTCGGGAGGTATTTTCCCCCTCGGCTGATCGCCCATGTGTTGCGTTGCCGTAATCGAATGAAACCAAACCAATCGTGTAATTCCCACGTTATCCGCTATACATATACAGAGAAAATTAGTAATGTGCAAAAACAGAGCACAATTCTCTAACATACCACGAAAAGATATTGGACGAAGGATTTAAAAAATATACATTAGAAATTATATGTTTGCAGTTGGATATTTGGAATAATTTCTCATGCTCGCAAAATAAAAATTTGCTTATTCGCAGACTTCCCAAGAGGAAGTCAAAGGTTGACACAGGTATGTTGTCAAAGGCTACCGGTTACGCCAATTAGTTACATAGGAAAATTTTGTGTTGATTGTACAGTACATATGAATTTTATCAATTTAATGATATAGCAATTTTGTTTTATTTATTTTATTTCACAAATCCGAATAATTCTTCGATTTTGATTAATGTTAAATTATTTTTTAGATTTTAATTCAATTGTTGAGAATTTAAGTCGGTTTTTTGTCATTTTCATCACAATAACTGTATTTAGCAATGACGCAAGCTAGTTTAGCTTGCAAAGAGACTGGTATTTCGTCATCAGTAGTGGGTCCTGTTTTCGTGTCAGAAGCCTCTATGTCGTTGCCGTAAGGAAGAGAAGCTGGTGTTTTAGTAGAAAGATAGTTTTTACGACAGAAATCAAGATCTTCCAATGTAACCTCGTCTTTTTCATTTAACAACGAATATCGAACAGCTTGGGTTGACGTCTTGCATATTGTTGGACCATCCACATTTGGAAACATTAAGCCTGTGGGATCCATTTTCTGAGATGCTAATTCCTTTATTTTTGGTTCGACTTCCAATTCATCGACTTCTTTCGAATCTATATCTTTAATTCTTATACTTTTGAGTTTATTCGTCTGCTTAGACCCCTCTTCCGATTCTCCTTTCTGTTTTGAAGGCCCAACTTTTTTCCTGATCTCTTCGCTATCTACAGTTTGAATGACAGTTTTATTAATATCTTCACCTTGTTCATTCATGACGCCGGCGCTCACAAGCTTTTTCATCAGTGATTGTTTTTCCATCTGTTTTTGAATTTTTGTTAAATATTTTTTCACCAAACTGATCTTCATTCCCAGTTCGCCAATACTTCTTCCCACTTGCATATTCTCTTCTTTGACTTGCACGTTACTTTCTTTGGCATCGTTTATTAGATTTTCTTGTATTATTAATTCGTTCATAGCTTTATTCGTTTGTGTGTGCTTTTCTTCTAAAAGTTTGTAAGTGCCTCTCAACAAAACTTTTAGATGATTCACTAATTCATCTGCCATTTTGCATTTTTTATTTATATCTTCGATAATTGTTCGAGAATAATTTTCAATATCAGTTAGTTCATCTCGAAGGGCTTGATTTTTATTTTTTAGTTGTTCTGCTTTCTCTGCTAGGGCTGCACCTGATTTTTTTTCAGTCTTTTGTTGATCATCTAACTTTCGTTCTAGTATCTCTTTCTCTTTTTGAATCCTACTGTGCTCTGTTTGCAAGTCGTCTAAGCCTTTTCTCAAAACAATCAATTCATTCTGCAAAATTTCAGCTTCTTTTTTACTAGCAACATTATCAAAACTTTCCTTCAGTTTTGTGAATTTTTTTTCCAGATGTTCTTTAGTAGCGATTAGCTCTTTTTTTTCGGCCAAAAGTCTTTTAACATGTTCTGTTAACTGTTCGCATTGCTCTCGTTTTTTCCGGTCAATATCTTGCTGACGATTAAGCCATGATTGAATATCTCCCCACTGATTAGCAGATAACTGTATAGTTGCTATATCTGGAACAGCTAAAGGTTGACCTTCTGTTTTCCCCTCATCTTCAATTTTTTGCTCGCCTAGTTTCGATATTGATTTATGGATACCGATTTCTGATCGATATTTTTCTCCTTTTTTATGATGACGCCGTTTCTTAGCCTTTTCTCTTTGAAATAAAACTTCATCTGTTTCGAATAGAATAGGAACAGTTCTTTCGAGTGAGGCTTTATGCTTTATTTTCCTTTTGCGTTTTATATCTTCCGTCTCTTCGCTTTCATCTGTAGTTGTGCTACTCTCCGATTCTTTTTCGTCAGTAAATGTATTTATACCACTTCTAACATGTTGCTCTAAGATATTTATTACTTGTGTATGTTTCGCAATCGAAGCATAATCAGAAGCAGTCCATCCCTTGGAGTCTTCTGCAGTTACATCCGACCTGTTCTTCAGAAGAAGCGATATCATCGGAAAATAACCTTTCTTACAAGCGAGCATAAGAGGGGTCCTCAGTTTTTTATCTTTTGATTCCACACTGGCTCCGTGGTGTATAAATCTTTTTGCTAGCTTCACACACTTAGTTTCAGCTAAGATATGAAGTGCAGTAATTCCATCTTTGTTAGCAATATTAACTTCAGTTGTATACTGAAGCATATGTTGTGCAACATCGTATTGGCCAGTTTTCAGCGCTATATGAATCGCTGTATTTTCTCCTCTGTCTGTCAAATTAACATCTGCATTTGCTTGAATCAGTAAATATACAGCTTTTTCATGATAACCCTCAATGGCTTTCATTAGTGGCGTTTTCCCATTGATATCTTGATCATTTACATTAGGATTTTTTTCAAGCAGAATTTCGATGACTGCAACATTTCCTTTTGCTGCCGCTAAATGTAATGGAGTTCGCTTTTCATCGTCTTTGCTGTCCCATGGTATTGACTTCAAACATTTCCTAACATCGCTCTCCTTACCCAACCAACACGCGAGATGCAACTTCGTGAAAGTTTTTTTCTGATTTTTGATGTCTACAGTATAACCAGCATAGGTTTCTGGTACAGAAGGTGCTGCCATAATTTTTATTTAATGGTTTATGTCACCGAAAACTTTTGAGAAGCTTCTTCAGATCTTTTCGCTTTAGTATATTGTTATCCAAATCAATATTAATTATTTTAACAATATTTTTTCCAGAAGAATAAAGAGGCGGGGAGCACTCACAATTACTTTAAAATATTGGCAGACAGCAGATGCGAACAATATGAGCTTATTTTCTTATCGATTGTTGTTGAAACAATTATTGATGCTACAATGCATTAATATAAATTACGTTTGTTTTGCATTGTTATCAGATATAAATATTTTTAAAATTTTTAGCCCTATGAACAATTAAGGTAATCTGCTTTCTGCCTACCACAATGGACGGCAGCTAGTGATAAATTCGGGACTCGACATATCCGAAATAGGATATGTCGAGTCCCGAAACTCGACATATCCGAAATTCGGGACTCGACATATCCGAAATAGGATATGTCGAGTCCCAAATTCATCCAGGAAAATTTTGGAATCGATCCAAACCCCAAGCCGTGTCTCACTGAGCGGCCTGCTGATTTCTTTACTTCTTCCATCAATTGCCTATTCTATTCGAATGAATAGCAAACGTTTTATATCCACTTACAGAAAAATATACTAAAAATTATAAATTACATATAAATGTATTCATATACAGTATGTATTGAATTGATTGGAATTTGAGAAAAAAATAAATATATATATACTGTATAAGACAAACATATCCTCATCAACAGTAATACGGTATATATATATATATATATATAAATGGACATGTGTGCCCCTATATTTCACTTTTCCGCCAAAACTACACATCTCACGTGAATGGTGTTTGTATGTGGTGGTAGCCCCAAGTCTCCGTTCGTGCATAGGGGTGGTTGCGTCTCGATAGCTATAAGGGTGCGGGAGATATGAGGCTGAAAGTGGTTGAAAGTGGCTTTCTATTTCGAATGTTTTGTTCGAATTTGTTCGAATTAAATTCGAACATAAAATTCGAATATTGGTTCGATTATAGAACGATTGTAAACGTTCCAGAAACGTTGAAAATAGTTCGTTTGACTAAACGTAAAAAATTCTCTAATTAGTCTGGAAACGGGGGACGTAATTCTTGCATTCTGTGAAAACGGGTAAGATTAGCTATAATGTAATTATCTTAATCTTCACTATCGTTACTTTTTGCCCTGCGAAGCGGGTCCTTGCAGCTAGTTAACAAATAAATTCTGTAGCAAGTAGAGTTGCCATCTATTCGGAACTTCATTTATTTGTTTAAAGCCTTGTTCGGAAATGTTCTGAAAAATGTAGAAGGTTTTTTTTGAATTGTCCCTTTTTCCTTGTGAAAATTTTGTATCACTAATTGTAATCCAAATTATTTTTAGTCCCGTTAGTTTGCGTTTTCTCCCTCTTTTTTCCTCGTTCCGTCTTGTGGACATTAGCAAAGCCGATGTGTGTCACTCTGTGAGTATTCGGGGTATGGGCATAAAGAAAGGAAGGTCTTCTTCTTTTTCTTTATGTCCATACCTACGTATGTTCAATAACAATTACATTTTTAAGCTGCCTCGCCCAGCTAGCTGCTTTTTCTAGTCAAACATTGCTGCAATGCTCTTTCGTTTCTGGCATTCGTAACAACCGACTTTTTTCCAGTTTTTGGCGTTTTCCACATTCCAGATACTTCATATCTTTTCAAAATATTATATACAACTGATTTGTTATGGCTTTCGGTTGAAAAATACTCCATCATCAATTTTTTTGAGTGGTTCGTTTTATTTTCGTACATTTGTACAACGCGCTTTCTTAATATATCCTCTTTTAAAACCATTTTTCCGAATGTACTCACGAAAACTGTACGCGCTGTAACTGAGCATGAGTAATGATGTAATTTTTGGCGCAAAGATTTTAAAATGATCTTTTTGAACTCAAAAGTTATGAATCTTTAAACTCAGCTCCGATTTTTTATCTCACCCCATTAACGAGTAAAATCGTCAGTAAGTCCAATCCTACTCGACATCCTTCTTTATGCCTATACTCCGAATACTTACAGAGTGACACACATCTTATCGGCTTTGTTAATGTCCACAGGACAGAACGAAAAAAAAAGAGGGAGAAAACGCAAGTACGACACACGACTCTCCTCTATCTCCCCATCTCCTCGACCTTTAACCACCAAAATTTAATTGTATCAATCTCCATAATACAAAAACTCTCTGCAAAGTTTCAGAAATTTCCCACAAAAGGCACACGAGTATTTCTAAAATTTAATTTGGAATTGGTCATTAAATTTAATACAAGATGGCAGCATAACTGCCTACCGCTAATCAAATTAATCAGTTTCTAATATTTAATTATAGCCTTTACATAGCCCAAGAATTTAGCATATCGTTTTATAACGGGTTTTGGTTGTTGTTTACACGTAATATGTCTGAATACAAGTTTGGAAAAATGTGTGATCATGAGCGACATTAAGATGCTAGCGGAACGAGTGTTAAACACAGACTGATGTAGCATGTGCAAAATCCGGGACTTCCCTCTCCTCGTCACTCGTTATGCGAAACATCGCTCGTTAAGTGTGTCATTTTTTACAATTTATTTTGCTCGTCATGCGAATTACGTCCCCTAAGTTAATCTGCTCATGTGCGGTTTAGAAACGTTAACTGTTAATGAACAATTAACTGTTTATAAAGTAAATTATTTGAGAAAACCCATTATGACTAACAACACTCTAATTTTTGGATAAACTTGTTACATTTTTTGGAAGCTGGTACATTTATAAACCTTGTTCAATTATCTGCATTTGGTGTTTGTATATTCTGATTATTGAAATGTAAACAACATCCATATTTCCAAGTTGTAACTTTTGCTACAATGTTCACAGTTTATGGATTTTATTATGTATTTAATTAAATGTGGTTTTTGTAATTAAAAATGTACAATACAAACAGAATCTTATTTCTAGTCCTAACAGATAATATTGCATTTTAAAAACGTTGGATAAGGTACACAACTGGACGATCATCAACTGGCACCGGTTAGTTAGGCGACAGAAACTTATAAATGTTTGCATGCTTATCAAGCATACGATCTAGCAGATTTTATTTTAAAAATATTGGTAAAATATGTATAAATGTGGTTGACTTACGAGTTTGAGTTATAAATGATCAATTAAGAGTTACGAGTTCTTAGGAAAAGGGAATGTTTTGGAACAATGTAGCATCGTTAATTATTATATCTCAAACACGGTTAAGAAAGCACACCAAATAAAACCAGTTCTTTGAAAACAAATTCTTGAAATGAATAAAACTAAAAAGATAAAACTAAATAAGTCACATCGAGAAACGCAAAACAATGTTCATCGATGTAGTTAGCCTGGGCGAGCAGTTTGAGCAGTAATATATCACAATTCAAAGATTATAAGTGATTTATTGTTAAGAAAAGAAAAAAATATGATGAATTTCCGATGGGATCAGAGGAAGAACTTGAACGTAACTGCAGACATCTTGACGAAAGGAAATGACATTTCGTTAAATCAGTACTGTCCAGGGCCTGCAGTTACAGCAGAGGCAATTGAAGAGCTAGGTAACTTGTACTGTACACTCACATGATCGGATTGATGAGTGCAATAAAGACTTCCTCTATAAAATGGAGATTTTGCAATTCAAATGGTACTGGTTCCGGGTCCATCATGTTTAAGTCGGTAAACAAATGCTTTGTGTCCGGATTGCTACAAATGAAAATGAGACCATTGGATCTTAAATACAGGCATAGATCAATTCGTTTGCAATGAGAACATGAACGAAATGGCTTAATCAAAAGCATATCCGGCTTGGACCAATTCATTGGAATAAGCGACAGGAGAAAAATAAGGAAGATGATGAACAGGTTGGACATAATCACTTCCATCTTCCCTTCTTGTTCATCATCTGCTGTGTCAATAGTTCGATGTCGACGTTCTCTGTGGAAAAGTCTATCCCTTTCACGAACCAATCGACGTTCTAGTACATGGTGTGATCGACCACGGTGAACACCTCGTCGCCATCGACACTGTTGGTGTTCTGGTACTTCAGCTGATGCTGGAGCGGCTCTACCTCGTTCAGGAGGCTTTCCTCTTCGGGTGCCTTGCTCCTCACCGAGGTTCCTCTTGCGGCTGCTGTTGGATCTGTCTGGACTCTTGACCACCTCTTCCTCTCATTACACCTCGAGCTCGGTGTTTTCCTCCTGTTCGTTGCGCTTCAGCCATTTACTGCCTAAAAACATATTTTAGTACAAAAATGAAATCAAAAAGCCCACACCTTGGAAAAAATGACAAAAGTCCGCATTTGTAAGTTCGCCGACTTCCAGGGGAATCGTTAATCCCGCGTCAGGATGATCTAGGGTCGTTCGTGTGTGGGTGTGGCGGAGGAGACACAGATGACAAGTATCTGACAAAAATCTGTTTAATTTAACAGGAAATAACTTACACTATGCACAAAGTTCCTTAACCAATTAAATGTTCATAAGTTTTAAGTGTCGAGGATGTTTTTCTATCGACCCTCGGAGATGGGTCCCGGGGCTGCGGCAGGTAAGGAGACTTGTCGGTAAGCGTCGGCGGCACGGCTCTCTCGATGGTCACTAGTGCGGAATCTTCCTCTTCTGTGCGTCGCCACACAGTGAGTTTTTCGCTTCGGACTTTCCGGGGTGCAGGTTTACGGAAGAAGTCTCCTTGTCCTTCAAGATCGGGGATTATATCAATCTCCGTTCTCTAATTTGTTCCTTCTGATTGGCTCCCTCGTCTGTCTCTAAGCGAAAGACGATTCCTTTTCGAGTCACGAGAAAGATCCGCCTTGAAGAATCTACTTGACACCATCCGTTATTCTGGCTGCAAAATGTTGATGGAACTTTGAAACTTGCGCTCATATTTTCCACCATTGTTGTCTAGTCTGTGACGTTTTTGAAATTTAACGACACGACGCGATGTCCTTTTTCGTCATTAATCTTTCCTCTTTTCCAAATTTCTATGTTCTAATTAT